TTCCGCCTGGGAGAAGAAGAGTTCGACGAAGAAGATCAGTAGCGGCCCGAGAGACGTGTTACCCCATCTGGCCGAGCATGCCGAACGCCAGCAGGCCGGCCATCACGTGCGTGAACAAGACGGCACCTCCGTCCGCGGGCGAGTGAACCGCCACGGGTTTTCCGGAGATTGTTTTAGTTGAGTCCGGCCTCGACGAGGCCGGACTGTTGCTGCTGATCCTACATCTGTTCGAACTCCCCGGGTGGAATGTCGCGCGTGCTCATTCCACAGGCGTACACGGCGATGATCTTGCCGTCGAAACCCGGAAATCGGCGTTGATACTTGCGAATCAGGGCGGGATCGAATCGGCCATGTCTGTCTAGCAGTATCGACAGCACGTGGCCAGTCTGACGCTGGCACGCGCAACGTCGCGGGAACGTGAGATGGCTCTGAGAACGGCCCTGGGCGCCGGCCGATGGAGAGTCCTTCGACAACTGTTGACTGAAAGCGTGACGATTTTGCTCGCGGGGGGCGTGGTTGGCGTCCTGTTGGCCCTTGGACTGACACGGGCAATATCGCAGGTGATCCCGGCAATCGTTCCGCGCGGCGATGAACTGACGATCGACTGGCGCGTACTCCTGTTTGCGTTCGGAACTTCTGTCCTGACCGGCGCGCTCTTCGGGTTGGCGCCGGCCTTCCAGACCACGAAACACGATCTCGTGGAGTCTCTCAAGAAGGGGGTGCGAAGTATCGTCAGAAAACGCAGTTCGTTCGTGCACACATGGCTGGTCTCGTCCGAAATCGCGCTGACCGTCGTACTCCTGATCGGATGCGGCCTGATGGTTCGCTCATTTTACGCGCTTTCGGGCGCGGATCCCGGGTATTCCGCAAGGAACCTGCTCACCTTCAGGATCGACCTGCCTGAAGCGGAGTACGACTTTGTCCGCCAAGCCGCATTCTTCGACCAGTTGCTCGAGCGGATAGAAGGGCTCCAGGGTGTAACCGGCGTGGGTGCGACCTCGAGTCTGCCTCTTGGAGGCGTCACGAGTTCGGGAACAACGTGGGTCAACGAGACGACGAGATTTCCGGACGACGACGCCTATATCGAGGCCGACCATCGATTCGTCAGCCACGACTATTTCGCGACGATGGGGATCCAAGTGGTTGAAGGGCGTGACTTTGACGAGTTCGACAGTTCCGGGACCCGGCTGGTGGCCATCGTCGATGAGGAGTTTGCGCGTCGATTCTGGCCCGACGACGATACCTTTGGCAAGCAGGTTTCCTTCGACCCCGTAGAAGGCGAGCCCCAATGGTGGGAAGTGGTCGGTGTCGTACCGCACGTCCGCCACGGCGATCTCGGAACAACAGGCCGGGAACAGGTCTATTTTCCCTATCGTCAGTTCGCCTCGTCGACTTCATTGGGCAGGGGAATGTTCGTGGTCGTTGGAACGGAATCGGATCCGGCTTCCTTTGTCGCCGCGGTCAGAGAAATCGTCGCAACGCTGACCCCCGAACAACCGATAGCCGACATGGTCACAATGGACTCGCGCGTGAATGAATCTCTGGCCCCGAACCGGTTCAGTCTCCTCCTGATGTCCACTTTTGCCGGAGTCGCCATGTTCATGGCACTGATCGGCGTGTACGGTCTGGTCACCTATTCAGTAACTCAGAGGAATCGGGAAATCGGCATCCGAATGGCGTTGGGCGCCAGGGCGAGTGAAGTCCGATCCATGTTCCTCAGGCAGAGTTTTCGAACCGTCGGCAAGGGTCTTGTCCTGGGTCTTGCGATGGCGCTGGCGATGGCGCTGGCGATGACGCGGTTTATCGGTGGCATGCTGTACAACATCGCGCCGACAGATCCCGCCACCTACGCCGTCACAATTTCACTCCTGGCAGCCGCGGTCATCCTTGCGTGCTACGTCCCGGCGATGCGCGCAACCCGTATCGACCCCAACGTTGTGCTGCGCGAAGAATAGCAATACAGAATGTCTCGCCGGAACGCTCAATCGGCCGAGACGAAAAACCGGATCGAGAGATCGACTCCCTGGACCGCAATCTGTATCGTTGTCGGGAAGCCGATTGTCAAACAGGAATTCCAGGCCGGACGATCGATCGGCGATCGGCCCGCACTCTTCGCAGGAGGGTCCATGAGACTCGCTCGACTCTTGACCGCTATCCCATTGTTTCTGTTGTTCGTTCCTTCCGCCATCGCTCAGGTTCCGACTACCAGCCGGTTACCGACGCGATGCTCGAGAACCCGAGTCCGGACGACTGGCTCATGTTCAGTCGCACCTACGATGCGCAACGGTTCAGCCCGCTCGAACAGATCGACAGGGACAATGTCGAGGGGCTCACCCTGGCCCTGGTCGCGCGGAATGAACAATGGCAGCGCCGAAGCGATTCCGATTGTCCATGACGGCGTGATGTATATCGTCGAGCCCGGCGCCGTCGTGCGCGCGGTCGATGCCACCAACGGCGACAGCGTGTGGGAATATCGCCACGATGCGGGCGATGCCGCCGGGCGGGCACGAACCAAGACCCTGGCGATCTATGGCGACGTGATCTTATACACGGCGCCCGACGGCTACATTGTCGCTCTGGACGCGGTCAATGGCGAGGTCCGGTGGCAGACCTATGCCGGTGAAGCCGACCACACTTCCGGCCCCGTGGCCGTCAACGGCAAGGTGATTTCCGGACGCGCATGCGCACGGACCCGCGAGAGCTGCTTCATCGCTGCCCACGACATCGAAACCGGCGAGGAACTGTGGAAGTTTTTTACGGTTCCCGGTCCGGGCGAGCCAGGATACGAAACCTGGGGCAACCCGTCTCCTGAAACGCACGACAGGAACATGGCATCGACCTGGGGCCTGCCCGGATCCTACGACCCCGAAACCAATACCGTGCTGTGGGGCGTCGCCAATCCGATGCCAAACACGCGGGCGGCGCGTCATGACGGCGAAGTCGACACGATTCCGCGCACGTCGCCTTCGGATCTGTACAGTAACTCCACGCTGGCGCTGGACCCGGACACCGGTGAGTTGAAATGGTATTTCCAACACCTTCCCGGGGACGACTGGGACGAGGACTACACCAACGAACGGATCTTGACCACGATCCGTTTCAACCCCGATCCGGAATACGTCAAATGGTTCAATCCGAACGTTCCTCGCGGCGAGGAACGCGACGCCACGGTAATGGTGGGAGAGGGCGGAGGTATATTTGTGAACGACCGCCGAACGGGCGAGTTCCTCTGGGCCACGCCGTTTCCGTTCGACACCGAACGATTCCTGATCTCGAACATCGATGGCGCCACGGGCCGGACCGAGCTCAACTGGGACCTCGTCCTCGAAGGATTTGCCGGCGAAAACCACTTGACTCTGCTCTTACAACACGGACCAGTTTCTGCCGTCTTTCGTCACCCGGACAATTCGCTATACATCCCTATGTCGACACCTCTCAACATTGTTGACTCGTGAGCCGACAGCTTGGTGTGACAACCGCGATTGGATCGGCTGGTGGACTTGCCTGGTCGGCGAGGTCACGTCCCGTAAGGGTATATCCTCGACTGAGCGGTCGCAGGTCGTCGCGAAGGTCAACCTGGATGATCTTGGGCGAAACGAAATCATGCGCTTCGGCTCGTCGAGTGCTTTGCATTCCCAGCACTGATCTACTTCCTTCTCGCGTACGGCAGGGCGGCGTCGTATTTTCACGGCGATTTCTGTGTGAACCGCCGTTTCTCGTTGGCTATGACGTGCGATACGGGGAACGCATGCTCTTGGGATATCTGTCTCTGGGCATGGGCCGTCCGATTTTCGATCTAGCACCATCTATCACCTATGCCGTGGATGGTTTCTGTTGTTAATCAAGCCATAGGTCGCTGTTGTGGTCATTCGACAGGCGACAAGGGCGGTGCCCTGGCACGGGGCGCGGGCGTCAATCCGCCAAGCGGCCACAATGAGATCTACGTGTTCGCGTTGCCGGAATGACGAGACAGTTCCCGACAGAGCCCATAGTCCCAAAGGCGCGCGCTCAGTCCGCTTGGGGGTTACTCGTTCTCCTGAGCGTCGGGGTTGGACGTGCCGGCAAACAGTCGGCGCCCGTCCGGAAGAGTGATGCTGCTGGCGTTCCCGGAGGGTCCTCCACTGCGTACCTGCCAGCCCGTGATCACAAGTTCGGTGCCGAAGATCAGGTCTTCCTTCCGCCATCCGCGCCGGATCAACCCGTTCGCCGAACCCGACTCGAATGACCAGTTGACGACCTCGCCATCGGGTCCTTCGACATCGATATAGATCCAGGCATGTGGATTGGACCACAACATATCCGTCACCTTGCCAGTGACCTCGATCGGGCTGTTCGGGTCGAACTCCGCGGTGAAGGCGTGATGTGCGCCGGCCGAAACGGCAAACACGCCCACGGCGAACGCAATCGTGGCGAGCGCGCGTATCGTTCTGCTGAAATTAACCCTCATCGTCCAGTCTCTCCTTGTCCTTGTTCCGCCCGCCATGCGTCGCGGACATCCTTGAGATGTTCCAGATCCTGATTGTCTTCGAGACACGCGACCTCGAGGATTTCGTCGTCCCTGCGGTTCAATGGTATTTCCATCGTCCACGGCGCCGTGTAGGCGATGGGATCGGTCACCGTGGCCTGGTATGTGATGGTATCGGCATCCAGAGGCGTGAACCGTTCGACGGTGGTCTGCGCGTGACTGACCACGTCTCCGACTTCGTTCAGCCATGTCTTGCCGTTCATGTTCGTGGTCTCGACGACCAGCGTATCGCCTTCCCATCGGCCCACGGAGTCGCCGTTCCATAGCCGGATGTCTTCCGGAATGTGATCCCGCCCGTCAAGGGGAATCTGGCGCCAAGCCATCCGCTCGAACAGAATAACGACATATCCGGGAGGCTGCAGTATCTGGAACGGGGACGGTACGTAATGGGAACGTGGGACGCCTGCGGCCACGAAACAATGTGCCGTCGGATCGTCATATCCACGGTGAGGAAGATAGCGGTCGATCCGTTCCGCTCGCGCCCATTCCGGTACGGCAGTATGCCATCGGGCGGATCGACAACCACGGCTCTTGACGCCGGAGTCAGAAAGTCCCGGGGTTTCTGTTCGAGTCCGTAGTTTGCGCCTCCTCCGTCGGCTTGGTAGAGGCCCGAAATGCTGTCGGGCGTGCCATCCGGCAGTCGGCGAATGGGTCCGGACGGCGCCGAATCCGCACTCCCACGTCCCTGGGCCGCATAGGATTGCGGCGCCATCGCCAGGGGTGTCGTTATCGCTGCCGCCAGAACGGCTCGAAGCAGGAAATTGCGCCGTCGTTTCATCGGATTTCTCGGGTGGTTCATTCGGATTGCTCGATTGAAAAGGGTGCTCGAAGGGGCGCTCGGAATGTGACTCATGGCTCCGACCGCCCAGGATACCAGGTGCGTTCATCGCGTTCGAACGCCCCGTTCGCCTCTTCGACTTCGGCCTGGCAATGATACTCGAGGACCCGGTCCATGTCCTTGTGCCGATAGATCGGCATACGGATCGTCCATGGCTGGGTGAACACCTGGGGATCCTCGATCGTCGCCTCGTATTCGATGGTGTCCGGGTCGAGCATCGTATACCGCTCAACCAGTCGCATCGCCTCACTGTGAAAGTTGCCGGACATGTCGAACCATGTGCGGTTGTTGTGGCCGGTCACGTCAACGACCAGCGTGTCGCCTTCCCAGCGGCCGCGCGAATCCCCCATCCAGAACTCCAGTCCGGAATATCGTTGCGGTTCCCCATCGGTGTAGATCAGTCGGTGGAACAGCGACCATTCGAAAGTCATCGCAATGTGGTCGGGGGTTTGAAAAATCTGAAAGGGATGCTCCATGTACATGATCCGCGGAACGCCTGGCATGTAGCACTTTGAAAGCGGATCGGCGGTTTCCCGGTCTCTGAAGTTCGCGTCCCTTTGTTCGACCGCGGCCGCCTGGTAGGGAATTCGCCCGCCATCGACCACGCTCCGGCCGGGAGGCATGCCGTACCCCGCGGCGTGATCTTCCAGGTTGTACGAGGCCCGGTTCCGAACCTGCCAGATGCCCTGAAAGTCCGGACGTCCATCCGCGGTTCGTGGAATCGTTGCACCGGCGGCATCGCCGGTCTGCCTCGCGGTGGCCTCTTCGGTCCAGACGCAGGTCGCGGCAATCAGGACGATGGCGGCCGTGGCACACCCCGATGTCTTCGGGAACTTTGAAACGATGGATCTCATTGCCTTCAACTCCAGAATTGAAGCATGAGGCAAAACGCGGATCAAGCGCAACGTAAGAAACGCGAAAATGGTTCCCTCGTGGCGACCGGTCTGGAGTATTCCGGAAAAACTGGGCTCAACTCCGTAACTCTTATTGTAGGGGCGGTCTATGACCGCCCGAATCAAGTCCGAAACCGCACCGACAGCATTCCGAAACTGTAGGAGAACAGCGCCCCCGCCCCTTTCTTTGATATCGTGCGACTAAAGGACAAGCCGGCCGGTGCTGTGGCCGATCTGTTCGACCTCAACATTGGCCAGATCGGCGATGCCGAGCAGAAGATTGGCTGTCGGTTCCTTGTTTTCCACGGCGATGTGGCGATTGCCCTTCAACCGGCCATTCGCACCGCCCATCAGGAGGACCGGGGCATTGTTGCGGTCAGTGGGCATTGCCGTTGCTCATGCCGCTGCCATAGTAGATGACCGATCGGTCCAGGAGCGTCCCATCGCCGTCTGGGGTCGCCTGGAGCTTGCCGATGAACTCCGCGAGCTTGACGGAATGGTAGGTGGTGACCTTCGCGTACCGCTCGATGTTTTCGGGGTTGTCCGCGTGGCGTGTGCTGTGATTCCGGTATGTGCGGCTCGTGGAATTCGAGTGTGTGTGGGGAGACTCCGACTGGCTTCTGCTTCCTCGTGACCAACCATGAACGTGAACACGCGTGAGATGTCGCCCTGGAACGCCAAGCGCATCAGGTCGTAGGTTACCAGTCATGGTTTCGTCGCTAGGTATTTTGCGGGATGCCCCGTCCTGGAGTAGCGGATTTCGTGTCCCTCTGGGAGACGGCGTCTGTCGTGATGCGGTTTTGGGTCCATGCTGGTCAAGTTGCTCTGTTCGAGACATCGCGAACGTCGTCAGGTTGGTGGTCCTCATCTTTGAGAATGGCGTATCGCGTGACCCCAGCCTTCGCTGCATATTGGCCGCTTCCTCGGCGATCGAATCCAGCACGCTCTGCTTCACGTCTGAGGTTCGAACGCCGTGTATCGCGCCATGATTCGCGAACGGTTTTCTTCACAACATTGCGTTCGAAAGTCACACGCGGGTTGATACCCATGGGCAGCGGACTGGTGTCGTCGTCGCGCCATGATATACGGTGTTGAGAATGACGCAGGGATACCGTCTGCTTAGGCTGAGCTGCGCGCGCGAACGTTCCCATGTCTCTGGTTCCACCTGGAGGGACCGCAGTTTTGGTGTCGTCCGGCGATCCCAGTCGGCGTATGAACTGTGCGATGTGCTTCGTCGATGGTATGATCTGTGTATAGTTTGCCTGGCTCGGTGAGTTGGGTAACCGACGCCGTTCAGTCCATGCTCGCGTCTGTGCGCCATGTGCACACCACCCATCTCCGGATTCCCGTCCGGAGGCCTTCAGTCTGATCTGAAGCTTAGCGTGACCACGTGGTGGTAGTCGCGTGTACGGCTTTTTTGTTTCGAGCGGCGTCCATGATCGCTTGTATTATTCGTAAAGTCGCTCCCGTGCGTGTCTACGTGATGCTCAACTGCGCGGTAGAGTTCCGTTCGGCACGTAAATCGCGCCGAATCGGAACATTGTGCTCGCGCCGCGTGGTCTGGCCGATCAATCGTGACTGGCGGAACCATGGCGTCACAGACGGTCAGCATAGCACCTATCGTCCCCATCGGTCCCCCCTCTCTCTCGATAGGAACGACCGGAGGTGGTTAGATGTCTCTTTTGTAATGATCATGGGCTAATCCCTCTCTGCGCTGTTGCGGTTTATGATAGCAGTACCTACGTGTCAATGGGTTTACGCATCTGGAAAGGCGGAAATTCGGTAACTGTATGTTCAGATCCCAGAATATCGATTGCACTGTGCGTAATCGTTTAGCATCTGTCGCTGGTTTTTGCGTTTTCGTTAATGTGGATGTTCTGGCTCGTTACCACAGGCTAGATCGTTATTGTGGTTCAAGTCCCCTGTTCACCATAAGGCCGTAGTGTCATCAATTGTTCGTGTTTTTTGATTATGCTCAGTTGTCCTATTTAACACACACCTCGGGTCCTGGCGAGCATGTGTCATTTCTCAGGGTCACCTAGTGGGTTATTCAGGTAATGCGCTTTTGCCTGTGTCGTCTGTACCGTTCGACATAACTTCCGCATGTTCGGAATTCGGATCTCCAGCCCATCCTTTTCCTGTTTTTCGAGTCGTATCCTTGGGCCAATGGTCCGCACCGCACTTTTTGATTTAATGTTA